AAGACGCTGATGAGAAGGTAAATTGCTAGACGATCTCCTTCTGACACTTTTTTCTTCGGCATTTACATTTTGATCCGTCAATTCAGTCATACTGTATCGTTTGTTGGCATTTTCTTTCTGCGTTTTACACGTGTACTGATGATTATCAAGAGAATTATTTCTAAGAATGCCTTTGGGCAACGGTGGACGAGTCGATGATGATTCGCTTGAAGTTTTTGAATAATGTTTACTACCGTTAGAACTTTTTCTCAAACTCCCAGATTCCGAACTGCAATCGTACTTGTAGCCACACGAAGGATTTCTCGGAGATCCGGCACAACTGGAATTATTGCTGTACAACATTGTCGAAGACCCTCTATATCCGGACGACGGTTGAGTCGCAGTGGATGAAAAATTTGAATTACGATGGTCGTTATTGAAAAAATTAATTTCACAACTCGTGGGTCGCTTTTTGATTTTTCGATTCGGGGGTGGACTTAAACAAAACAGTGGTACCAATTCCTCGTTGATATTTTTCACTTCTTTAATGTGTGATACGATTTCGGGAATTTCTTGCAAAAACTGTTTGTATTCCTTTGGAAGGAGAAACGTTAAACTTTCCCAATCTTTAACGTGTTTGAAACCGGTTCTTTTCAACGTTTCAATGTCGTTAACCGAAAAAGGTCGTCGCGGAGTGTTTTTCGGACTGGAAACTTTGGATGAAGGAGTTTGATATTGTTGAGGCCTTATGAAAATTTTTGAAAAATCCAAATTTTGAACGTAGTGTTCCTTTTTCAAAAATTCTAAATTGGGTAGGGAATAATTTGGATAAAGGATGTAAACGGGTACTTTTGTACGCGATTTGAGAACATCACTCGAAGTTTGAATACTTTTTTCCGTTACTAATTTTTTTACATCATTTTTTGACGATTGTTTGGTGCAATTGCACAAGAGATTTTCAGCACTTTCCGTATTGGATCCATTTTCTTGAGTAGATTCATCCGAGCAATATTTATGATCGCTTCCAATTTCATAATCGTCCTTGATAATTTGACGATCGTTTGAATTTGATTTAGGGTACTTGGTAGTTTCGCGAACGTCATTTTCGGATATTATTTTGCGATCCGTGATCGAATCGGTTGATTCGTAATTATAATCTTTATCTTTTTTACGAAAAATATTTCCTTTTATGATATTCACAGGGCTGAAACATAACATTTTAAAACAAATGAATGACGTTATGAATATTAAGTTAATAATAATAATAAATAAATAATTTCTCATATATACCTTTGGTAATTTTTAATTTTATTCATTTCGTTCATTTTTAAATTATTTGCCATGACTTTATCATAATCTCTCTGCTCGTAAGTTTCTGAATTGGTGGAAGAATCATCGGTGGTATAATTAGACATTCCTTCGTGGCTTCCACTTTTTTGTTTGATAAACAGTTTTAGTAAACTAAAATTATGCGGAGCTTTACCAGAAGCACTAAAAATGATAATAATGAAATCAAATAGTGAAAGTGATTTTCATTTTTTCTTAGTTTAATCAAATATGTTTTTAGGTCAAATTACCTAAAAGCAGAATGATCTACACTTTTAGAATTGCAACTGTTTTGAATATCAAAAAGTTTAATAAATTTTTGCTGACTCTTTAACGAACTCGAACTGTCTAACTTGGCAGACATGGTCAGTCCAGAAAATAATCTGTAATTTTACAATTGAAATTTTTTTTTTTTTTTTTTTTTACAATCATCTTTTTAAAACGCATAAATGCAGAGAATAAAAAATAATTACAAACTTTTGATTTTTGTGATATAAATTAGGTAAACTCATGCTCTTGGTTGTTTTCGAATTATTCGTTTGGCCACAGGAATTTGAAATGTCGTCCGTAGTATTATTATTATTATTATTATTATTACCGCTCGGGTGTCTCTTCAATTGTAAATTTTCATTTGAATTTTTCTTGATTTTTGACCAGGTTGTGTAAGGCGAATCTGAGCGTGCCATCGAATTATTATTTTGTTGAGCAAAACCTTCATTATATCCTTCATCCTTCGAAGGACATTCATTTTCTTCGGATATAGAATCTAATATAGAGCATTATTGTCATTAGAAATTTTTTTTTTTTTTTTTTATTACAAGAAATCATTTTGTAACGGGACTTAATAATAATAATAATAATAATAATAATACCAGAAATTCTACTTTCCGAATCTTCCGTTCCCATAACAGTTGATCCTTCGAAGGCGATTGTATAGTTGTTTTTATTTGCTTGACAAGTCACCATTAAATTCATATCATTTTCTGATAAATCTAAACTATCGACACTTAAATTTGAATTTGGAATAAAATTATCGTGCATGGGCGAAAACAATGGTTGAGATTTACAAACGGAAGTGTTGTTTGTCTCTTCCTTTAAATAAAAACATTAAAAAAATAATATTCCGAATTATATAAATTCCGTTCGAAATTAATGTGATCAAATACACACTCACTTGTGAACTCGTATGAACACTTATAGATTCATCAAAACCAAATTTCACCATCATTGATTCAGAAACGCTAGCAAACATTTCCCTTTCCTCGACTCCCTTGAAAAAAAAAAAATAACCAAAGTTTTATTTTTACACACATATAAAATCACCTTGAAAACTATTCTAGAAATTCTATTAGAAATAATTGGCTAATACATAAACAAAAATTTTAATAATGTTTCATCAGTTTAAAAAAAAAAAAAACTATTTTCACTAATTTTTTTTCCAGCATAACTTTTTACACATATGACAAAAAAAAAAAAAAATTAGAAGTCATTTGAAGTGTGCTTTGAACACATCCTCTGTGAGATCTGTGTTCAATGAAATAATGAAAGGGGCAAATCAAATTAAGTATAAAATGAAAAACTTTCCTGCATTTAACTTGTCAGATGTTGGGTCATCTATGTTTAAAAAAAAAAAATTTTTTTTTTTTTTTTGTCTTACCAATTATACTTTATGGCAAATGGCCAACTAATTCATATCGAGAGCAAAGACAAACTGTAATTGACTTTTATTTCATGTTTACTTATTACATGTAACTTAAACAATTACTACACAATTTTAATAATCAATAATATAATAATTACAATGATAATCAAATTGTTTTTATTACATAATTACTAACATTTCTAAAATTTAAATTTTTTAAAAAAGGAAAAAAAATTTCTTTTTCTGTCTATAAATGCCAAATTTGAGGCCCCAAAAAAAAAAAAAAAAAAAAATCTTCATTTAATAATTTTTTTAAATTGTAATAGATTTTAATTAATATTTATTTGACTGCTTTATCAATAAGTAAACCAAATGTTTCTGATAACCAAATAATTAACACATATAACTCACTTGAATATTTGGTAATGAAGACAATACTGAATGAATGTCTTCGCTATTGAATTCATCCATATCGACTTCAGCCAAATTGGCATCGAAATTTCTCGATATATCCTCATAATAAACTAAATCTTGTGATTTAGTTACCTGAAGTATACTTTGGTGATGTGAATAATTGTTTTCTTTATACCTATAAAATTTTTTTTTTTACATGTTTAAAATAATATTTATTTAAATGCAGTTAATAAGTTTTATTTTATAAAATTATGTCCTTTTATCAGAACTGCATATTTATCATAATATTTTTTTTTTGTTTTTCCAATGTTTAAAAAATAATCGATTGTTTTAAAAAAGTAGTTTAAAAAAAATTCTCATGGACGTGTTAATTGAAAAATAATAATTACCCATAATCTAAAAACCACTGATAATCTGAATTGTCTTGCAAAAAATCGGAACAGTCTTGAACGCTATCAGTACTGCACAATAATAAATTTTCCTTGGGCATTCTAAGGTTGTTGGAGTTGCAATCGGCAACTGGAGAAATAAGATTTCCTTTTATATTTGCCATGATGCCTTTTATAATATCATTATTGCTATCATCTTCGCATTCCATATTTTTAATTAAATTTAACCCTATAAATTAAAAGTTTTCTCGTAGTTTAACACATAATAATAATAATAATATAAGGAAGTTATTGAATTATATAATTACAAATTAGTTTTCACCGTTTTAATTCTTTATCAAACCAAATTATGCGTATCGCAGTAAATTTTTTTAAATTTCACATAGCTTCAAAAGTTATTTTTTGATTGTTTAAAAAGGTAATAATACAATACACACATTTTAATAAAAATAATTATTAAGAAAAACAGTACAACTGACTCAGCAATAAGCCATATTAAAACGACAATAAAAGGGTGTTTGAAAAGAACAATAACCTTGAGACATAGCAGATAATTAATTGCTCTAATTTGCAATATAATTGACAACTGCTACATATTTTACCAGAAAGTTAAAAATTAATGAATAATTAAATACTTGAGTTATCTGATACTCGGTAAAATAAATGTCAATTTTAATAATAATATGATAATATCAAATATTTAAAATGTCAGTTTTCGCAGCAATAATAATAATAATAATAATTAAAAAGTGATCTAATTAAAAAGTCGAGTGAATGGCCAAGTTAAAAAAGCCCATACGTTATAACAAAACGGATATTTTAATGTGACAGTTTTTTAATTACACTCAAAATATATAAAACGATTACTTACAAACTAATAAAGACATCATATCCTTTTGCAAACTCACAATCACATTTCAAATCGCAAGAAAAATAATCGTAGAAAACAACTTAATACAATCCGCCATATTTGATTTTGAGACCTAACTAAGTTTAACCTGATTGGTTGAAATTAATAATTTTTTAACCAAAACAATTTTCTTTACCACTCACTCATTTTCAAATTTTAATAATTTCGATTATGTAAAATTTAAAAGAAAAGAAAATATTATAAACCTAGTTAAAAACTATTTTATCTGACCCTATTTAACAAAATTTAATTATTTATATAGTACATCACACCGAATAACAGTGTATACAGGTTTAATTAATGTCACGCATTTAACACAAAAATTTTAAGCAAAAAAAAGTATTTTTGGCAGAGTGACACAAATAAAAACTGTTATTTTTAAAGTCAAATTTATTTTATTTTGTTTTTAATTAACTACATCTCAGTGAGAGGTGGCATAAAATATTTTATAAACATTTGCAAAAACATCTTTTTTTTGTCTTTTCCCTGATATCACTCCAGATGAGAGGAAAATTATTATTATTGTTATTAATGCCACCATCATCACTTGCAATCTTATAATTCACTAAAACAATTTAATGCACGCAATAATTTGAAAAAGAAACATTCTTTTCATTTGATGCAACACCGAAAAAAATTAATTATTATTTCAAAATATATAAATAAACTATTTTTAACATAAAGTAAATTTACAAAAAAATAACCGGCCAAGTTTTCCTCTCAAAAAATTTCTTTTTTAAAATTCCTAAAATAAAATTGTATTAGTGCCGGAACTTAATGCATAATAAAAACTCGTAAATTATTTAACGTCAGTTAAGAAAATTCTTTTTTTTTATTTTGCGCTTGGATGGCAATTTTTACACAATTTTTAATTAATTTTTTTTCCTCAAAAATTTATTTCAAATTATCTGGTTTTATTAAAAAAAAAAAAAAAACTCATCTTTATATATATATATATTAAATGCAATTGATCATTTAAAAAAAAAAACGCACAGTTTGTTATATTATTTGTTCATCGTTCATTGCCCTTTTCTAAATCCATCTTTAAAATAATTTATTTTTTTAAAGATTAAATTTAAATTAAAAAAAACAACAACAACAACAACAATTTTTTTTTATTTTAAATTTTCATCGATCTAGACTTAAACGAAGAAAAATTTTATTTATAAAAAAAAAAATTAAATTTTTTTTTTTAAATGAACTGATAAAAACTGACTTACTGGTTTTAGCCATTTTATTTTATTTTATTCCTCCATTATCCATTTTATTCCAATTATTCTGAAAATAATAAAAAAAAGACAAATAAACATAAAATTTTGAATTTAGATAAAAATATTTGCTGTTAAATGAAAAGAAAATTCATCGATAACATGATAATTGTAAAATCAAAATTTTACAAAAAAAAAAAAAAATTTACATTGAAATGTCAATATGGTGGAAAAGCGTGAATGCGTGGAAGAATAAATAAATAAAATAATTAATTTTATTTTTATAATTAATTCTTTTTAAAACTAAATCTTACTACAATTATATTTTTAAAAATGTATTATTATTATTATCATGAAATCGATTATTTTAATAAAAAAAATGGAAATGAATTAAAAAAAAAAAAAAAAAAAAGAACTCATTCGGAAAATTTTATTATATTATAACATTATTTTAAATATTTTGATTCGAATTTAATCGAATATTAACGGTTTTAAGATTTTTCTATCGTTTATAAAATACTAAATACATTAATTAATAAAATAAATTATATTAATTAATAAGGTTTTTTTTTTTAAAAATACATAAATGTTATTAAATATATCATTAAGACTTCTCTGTATAGTTTAATGATAAAAAAACATAAAATATAATAAGAGATTAATAGATTTGAAAGTGTCAGTAGTGTTAATTAAGATTAAATAAATAATTAATAAATAATTAATTAATTTAATTAATATTTACCACAAATTTATTTCCATGGATAAAAATCCAACAAAACATTAAACTTCACATAGTAACACAAAAATAAACCAAATAAGAAGCACTTTTTTTTTTTTTTTTTGTAACCGGTCACACCTACACCGAAAACCACTCAATATCAAAAAAACACTATTATCATTATCATTATTATTATTATTATTATTTTTATAAAATAACAATCTCCTTATAAATAAATTTAAAAAAAAAAAAACAAAAGGAAAGCAAAAAATATTTTAATCTTTTTTTAGAAAAATCTATTTTAACTGATTCAGTGTTATGCGTCAAACTGGATAAAATTTGGATACGGATTTTGAAATTTTAATTGATTAACCATTACAAAAGCTAAACATCGATTAAAAGGTGAATATAGTGAAAGGTAAAAATTCTTTCACCCTCGGCGGCGGTGGCGGCGGCGGTGGCGACGGCGGTGGCGACGACTCCGTACTAAAACTTGCGCACAAGCAAATCAATACACAAATTAAATGAAGTGAAAGGAAGGAAATAAAACAAAAAAAAAAAAAAAAATGCAATTTTAGCATATGTTTGATAAACGTTAAATGGCCGACGAAACCTACGCGCGCGAAAAAAAAATTTTCAACATCGAACAATATTATTATAAATGGCGGCAAAATTATTTCACTAACGTCAAAATACGTTTTCCCCTAGATTGATTATATCGTTTCAAAAAAAAAAAAAAAAAGGAAATATTCTTACCGTTTGACTTTCGCGCCATATAAGAAAAAACAATGGAAGTATTTATGATGGTAAATTATTTTCAACGGTTGATGGATTCTTTTTTCTTTTTTTTTCATTCCCATTGTAAAATTTAAAAAAAGATAACCGCTTAAAATCACAATAAAAAACTTTCTAAAAAAAAAACCAAAATTAATAATGATAATAATATTTGTAATAAAAAATAATAAAAAAACCGGTATTTTACTGTTCCTTACTACCCTAATACTAGATAATTGATAGTGAATCCAGGTATGTTTTAAAAATCGCCATATTATTTAAACAATATAATTTAAAAAATGAATTAAGTAATAAAAATTATGATTATTATAATTATTGCAGTTTCTACCAAAAAAAAAACGTTTACGGTTAAAAAAAAATAAAAAAAAAAACCGGTTAATTTTTCAAAGTAACCGACGGCCATTTTTTTCTTCTCTTTGTATACAATTTATTTGACACTTAAATAATTTTTAAGATAAAATTAAAATGATGACAACTTTTTTTTTTAAAAAAATTATTCACCAAGTTTTATTTTTCTTACTGGTTTTATTTTACAAGAAAAAAAAAAAACAATTTTCCTCTCTGTTAAAAAAAAAACCTCAAGGGAAAAAATTATTTATTTAAAAACTAAACTGATATTCATTTCATTTGAGTGCATCTTCTGCTTTCATTAGGAAATCATTTCAATAAAATTATATTTTGATATTATAATATACTGATTTATACATTATTATTATCATCATCATCTTTTCCTTTTATTAAATTTTTACCAATTTGTGAACACAATAATAATAATTACATCAATGATTTGGTCTGGTAATTTAAATTATTCTATAATTTCATCATAAAATGTTTAAAATACATTTTTATTGAGTTAATACATTAATAAATTTTATTTTCTGATATATTATTAAAAAATTAACATAATAAAACATCAAAAAACTAATTTTTTTAGTTGTAATTTCTATATTCAAATGAAAAATTAGTACTTGAAGTAATTAAAAAGAAAGAAATTAATGTTAAAATTTTTTATACATTCATTTTTATCTCTAAAAGTTTTACTTTAGATTGTTAATATTCAGTTACACAAGATTATTTTAAATAAAATATAAAATTTGTTTACTAAATAGAAAAAAGTTATCTTAAATAAAATTATACATATTGTATTATTTAAAAAAAAAAAAAAGAAAAACCGACAACTTGTTAGTAATTCGATATGTGGAGTAATAAATAATTAAATTTAGTTATAAGATACTTAAAAATTCTTATCTTATCTGTTTTTTTTTTTTTTATTGTTGAACAAATTCAAAAGCCGGCTTAAACATTTTATTAATAATTTTTGTAATCCTTTTGAATTTAATGCCGCCGCAAGAAGAACAATTAACGTTTAATTTTTTTTTTTTTTTTGACTTTGACTAAATAATACCTCATTCAAATAAAAAACTTTCAAATATTGTTTTTTTTTTTTTAAAAATAACAATACATCTTATTAAAAATCATAAAATTAATTTAAATAATTTTTTTTTAATAAAGAAAGAGTTAAAATTTACAAAAAAAGAAAAAGATTTTTAAAAAAGATTTTAAAAAAAAATTTTTTTCTTTATCTGTTTTTTGATCAACAAAACGGTTTTTGTAATGACGTCACAGTCAAATCGTCGTGTAAGCAGAATGAATTATTCAATTATCACTTTTTGAATCACACCTGAATTATAATTTTATCTGTGAAGATATCTTGTAATTGCAAATTTTAGTACTTGAAAAAATTAAAATAAAAAAATTTAGTTCAATCGTGATTTTATATAAATAATGGCAGGTAAGATTATAAAAAACAATGTCAGTATTTTTTTTGAAAAACTTTTTTTTTTTTTTCGTGTTTATAAAATGACTACCATTATTTAACGAAAGGAGAAAGAAAAAAAACGTATAAATTTTCTTTAAGAAAGATTTCTCTTATGTAGTAATATTCTAGAAAGTTTTCTTCTTCTCTTTCTTTTTTTTTCTTAATAAGTACTTTGACAAAGCCACCAGTTTTTTTTTTTTTTTTTTTTAAATTCAAATAAAAGATACCGGTTTGATCAAAATGAAAAAAATTTAACTACTAGCTTGTTCATTGATTTCCTTTCTAATTATTTATTTCTTTATAAAAAAACAAAATGAAATAAAAGTAGAACAAATTCGTGATTATTATTTATTACAAATAATAATAATAATAATAAATCATTTTTTTGTAATTATGTTATTAATATAATATATTTTAAGAGTGAATTAAAAATTCATTCGATTTGATATTTATTTATTTTAACCAGTTTTTTCTTTCAAGTTATTATTTGTTTTAACAGAATAAATTTTCTTTTTTTCTTTTTAGTAATATGTTGCCATTATTCGCGAAACGATAATTTAAATATGATTAAATAAAGATTCTAACACTTACGTAATATTTGCGCAAGTCAATATCCGTAAAAATGATTCATTGTCACGTGTTTTAGTTAAAACAATCATAATTAAAAAAAAAAAAAAAGGATACATTTCAAACGTTCGTCTTAAATTAATTCGTTATTAAATTAAATGATATTAAAAAAAAAAAATCACTTATTGATAATTTTTCAATCAGGTTATTACGGATGGAATATCACTAACACGCAGGATTTGATTGAAAGTGAGGGAGAATGTATTAGTATGCCGGTACCTTATGTATCTGAAGAAGAAAATTCATCAGATGAAAATTCAAATTCAAGTGTAAACCCTTCCGTTAAGGGTAAAAGAAAAAGTTTTTTTTTTTTTTTTAAATTGCTTTTCTCATTGAATTTATTAAACTTATCAAATACATTTATAACGGATTGAGAATTAAAAAAAAAAATTGAAATTATAAACAATTATGACTAAATATATTCTGATCGTTGATCTACGCATGAAAGACTTTAATGAAATTTATTTGATTTTTTGAACCATAAAAAAAAAATAAAACAAATATTTGACGTTTAAATTTTCAACTTTTTTTCCATGTAAATTTTTTTGTTGTTGTTGTTTTTCTTTATTAATATATACGTCAAGGGAAAATTTTTAAAAAGTGTCAAAATCAATTTCCCAATAAGCTTTTAAACCTTAACGTGTGGTTGATTTAAATGGCTGTCGTTAAAAAAAAAAAAAAAACAATTAAAAATTGTTAATGCTGTATAATTTAAATAACGTGAAATGATTTAATAGAATATTATTATTATTTTTACAGGATATTATTGGTGTGTTAGCACGGGTGACATACCACCACAAGCAGTTAAATCAGGTTTAGATAAGGATGGTGGTGATATATATATAGGTCGTGCTATACACGAAGGTGAATTACATCCAGCAAAAATAATACCAAATCATGGTTGTGCCTATATTGCCTATAACGGAGAAGAAGTTAGAAAAGACGATTATGAGGTTAGATAAAAAAAAAAAATTATTTTTTCATCTGAAAGTCATAAGCCTTTGACCTTAGACATCTTAAACACTCTTATTTTTTTAGATATTGTGTCGTGGAAGTTGTACTGTGATTTGGCAAGAATGTAGAGATGGTATGATACCGTATAATGCAGTGGCTGGAGGATGTACGTCAGATAATGAAAAATTATACATAGGAAGAGTTTTTCACGATGGTACACACACACCTGGAAAAATACATCCGAGTCATAATACCTGTTACGTACCATACGGTGGTGAAGAATTATCATTTTCCAATTACGAAGCATTAGTTCTTCAATAAAATTAATTATTGACTGTAATAATTAATAATTTAATCTCGATAAACGATAGTTCTTTTCTATTTATTTTTACTTAAAATTTTCATTTCCCTCAATTCCGCCATTATAAAAAAAAAATGTAGGTGAATCTAAAATAAAAATGATGACTATTATTTATTTTTTATTAAGAAAAAGGGAAATTTTTAATATGATGCAAATAACTTTTTTTTTTTTTTTTTTTTTTAAATAAAAACCTGTAAAATTACCTTTTTTATTAGAAGGTTAATTTGTGATAACCTTTGATATCTGACAAAATAGACACAAAAAAAAGACCTTTGAAATGTAAACATAAATAAAATATCTTTAAGTCAAGTTGGACTTTTAAACGTTATATTTTTTAAAAAAGAAAATATTGTAAACATAAGTCATTGCTTTGTGATGACTCATTAAATCCTCTGTAAAATTACTTTTAATTTAAAAAAAATTTTTTTTTTTTATACAAATGTGCTTATTCCGTATAACAAATGGGGAAATGTATATGAGATTTAAAAATATATATATTTTACTGAACACCGTTTAGAAGCCAACTGAAAAGATTGCATTGTTATAAATGATAATAAATATAACAACAGTTGTATACCATAATCCTTGGCTTAATTAGCTCACGGTTAGTTGCCACAGGGTCAATATTAAGCAATTAACAAAAAAAACTTTTTTTCTTTTTTTTTCTTTCCTGTAAATATAACTCATAACAATACGTAATGAATAGTTTTATTTATTTTTTTTTTTAACACATCAGTAAATGACTTGGAAATTTTTTTTTGGTCAGTTTTTTTTTATTTATTGCTTTGACTTGAGTTTATTGTAGACCTAGTAAGAAAAACAAAATTATTTATGGATTAAGGCAAAATACATTAGTAACGGTAAAAAGTAAAAAAAAAAGGGATGCACTATTGTTTTTAACACGATTAATATTTTATAATATCAATATAAAAAATGACTTAGCGTTAAAGTTTAATAAAAAAAAAAACATTCTAATCATTTATGGTAAGTTTAAATATATATACGAATTATATTTTTCACTAAAAACAAATGTTAATTAATTGGAAAACTTAAAACGTTTTTTATTCTTAAACCTTTTAACGTTAAATATTTAAAAATCCAACATGGCGAAAATTATTAAAAAAAAAAAAAAAAAACAATTTCATACTTGAATTAAGTTTTTTTTTTATTATTATTTTAGTTTCCGATCGTAACTATAAAATTCTAATTTATATATTCGAACATTAATTTTAAAAGTGAAAGTTGAAAAGGTGATTTATTATTAACATTTAAAATTTTTTCCACTTATAATAATTTATATAGAAAAAAAATTAGACGCGCCATTAACATTCATCATTTTATTAATAAGCTCCTGAATTTATTTGCGTAGTAGTACCGGAAATCATTTTTTTTTTAACAGCGCCAGAATGTATTTCGTACTTTAAACGTACCCGGAAACCATCAGTTTCAATGCTGGCAAGCATTTTAACTTTCTTCATAGGCTACGTAACAAGTTCAAGGATTTTTTCTTTTTTTTTTTTTTTTTTCTTTTTTAATGATTGTCTCTTACAAGAAGAATCGTTGTTGTAACAGGTAAAAAGAAAAATTTTTAAACCACATTTAGTGTAAAATTATAAAAGTGATCTGATTATTATTATTATTATTTAGTATAAAAACGGGAAATTTATAATTTGATGATAATCGTTTGCGATTTTAATCCGGTTAATTTATTATTATTATTATTATTATTTTTTATCTGCACTTGAAATATAAATGGCGAAAAATAACTGTCGAAAAATGAAAAAAACAACAAATAATTCTTTATTAAATCGTAAATGGATGTAAAATTAAATTTTTTTTAAAAAAAAATTTCTAATTGTAACTCGAGGGTATTAATAAATTTGTTTTTTCTTTTTTTTTTATTTTAAATAATTTTAAATAATTTTTATAAAAAAAAAAACAAGATTTCAAGTGATTTTAATAGGTGGAAAATTTTATGTTTGTTTAATTTATTGAGAAAAAAAAAACAAATCAATTTTATATATTTTTTTTTGTTTTTACGAAAAACTATAATTATTTTAAATATTTGTAACGGTTTTTTTTTAAATTGTAAAAAAAAAAATTGCATGAATCCTTTTATGGATGGACAAATTATTTATCTTTCATTCATTTTATTTTATTTTTATTAAACTTTTTATAAATAAGTATTTAATTTAATAAATAAATTAATAAAAAACTTTAATAATAATAATAATAATAATCAGGTGAATTTGTAAAAAAAAAAGACAATTATTTAAAAATTTCAATAACTAAATTTACAGGTATATCAACAGGTAAATTATGAAAATGTTTGTTTGTTTTTTTGTTTTATGGTGAAATTATTAACGTTTTATAGTTTAATTAATACATAATTAATTAAAAAAAAGGTTTTGTATATTAAAAACTTGACAATAAATTTAAATTTAAATTTGTTTGATGGTAAATGCCATCCATGTAACAAAGTTTATGCAAAAAATTTATTGTTATAACATTTTCTGTTTGTGTGTGTTTGTAGCAAACAAACAAAAATCATATATATAAACTCAAATTATCAACATTTTTTTTATTTATAATTTTTATATCAAAATTAAAAAATGAACAACTATAAAAATTTATTTAAATTGATTAAAAATAAATTTTGTGTGTGTTTTATTTTAATGTAAATGGTAATAATAATAATAATTTTTTAAATCTCATTTAATTATTATCAACTTGGAAAAAAACCATGACAAAAACAATAAAAATATTATTATTATTTATATATATTGTTGTTATACCGAGTAAAACATCAAAAGTAAAAGATAGTGAGATAAAAGTTAAATTACAATTTTTGGAATATGATTTAGAAGATTTTTGCAAGGCAAAAAATGATGCAAAATGGAAATTTTTTAATGGGACGGATGAGAATTTAAAACAAGTAAGTTAATTAATTAAATTTTTGTAATTGCAAAATATTTATTATTATTAATAAATTATAAATTAT